AAATGTAATACCTAGGAATGGTTTTACAGAAGAACCTTAAATGGAAGGCACACATTAATGAGTTGGACGTCAATATAGGTAAAGCACTGAATGTAATGCGTGCCTTGTGTGGAACATGGTGGAGTAGTGACCTAAAAATAATAAAACTTATCCATGAAGCACCTATCCTAAGTCATTTGAACTATGGGGGTCAATTCCCATCTACATACCCTAAATATATATTGAAGAAACTAGATCATTATCAAAGTATCCGATTTATCACAGGATGCAACGTACGATTAACGAAAAAGGTTGTTTGAAAGAAGTCGGGAATTTGGAGTTCCTAGAAAATGTTAAAGTATTTACGACTTGGAAAGTAGAAGACGTTGAAATGAAGAAAGAGGTATATTTGTTTTTACCAATGAAAAGGAAAAAAAATTATTGATATAGGGGATGTTAAGCCAAGAGAGTTTTTGAAATTAAAGAAAACGACAGTGAGTGTAGAGACAGTTGATTCCTGGTAGCTGAAAGGAGCAGTTGGTGTTTAAGAAAACAAAAGTAAAAAAAGTGTCGGTTTTCGTTAACCATAAGCCTTGTAGGCATCCGTAAAAGTAATAAGTACAAAGTAATATATTTTGAAAAGTTAAAATTAAATTCAGTGATAAGTGATAGTAAACGTCGTAAAGTAAAAATTGTTCCAAGGTATTCAGATATACCTCTATATTTCTTTCTAACAGAATTCTCCGTTGCGAGGACTTCTGTTTTATCGACGCATAAATACTTCAGTGTATTTTGACAGGAACCTTTTACATAAACAATTTCGTAAAATTTTTAAATTATTTCTTGCAACCATAATTCATTATTGTATCTACTCTGGGTAACTTTCTATTTTAAAATAACTTGCGGTACATTTTTTATATGCTTTTTTATATTTCCTGACTCTTTTCATAGATTGTTTGTTTTTTGCAATTTATGCTGTCATTCAAATTTGTGTTTATTTCTTTGGTAGAAACATTTTTTTTAATATACGGTTATATTTTATTTTTTAATTTTATTTATCCATAGCTTCCTCTGAGTATTGGTTTTGCATTTCTGTGATTGAATGACGTAAAACCCTGAAATTATTTACCAATTTCGCACATGCTAAAGAAAAGTGACACTATATGAAATTTACGTATTTATGTGACGAACGTGATTACTACAACTTAACCTTCAAATTGTGAAATAACGTCTTCTTCAGTTTAAGGACACTTTACCTGTATCAGTTTTAAGGTTAGTATTGACTTTGCAATTAGGGATAACGTCACTTTATTTTTAATGTCACTATGGCTTTTGGTTTGTAGCATTAATAGCTAAATTAGCCGCTTCCAAAAGCGACATTTATTGTTTAGTGCCACTGTTCCGTATACATCTTGTAAATATAATTGACTTTGTGGTTAGCAATAATGCCACTTTTTCTTCAGTGTCATTGTAGCTCTTAATTTATAATATTGATAGCTGTAGCAAGTGCTACCATAGCGTCATGTTTTGTTTAGTGACATTGTTGTTTATACGATTCTTTAAATATATGATTACATTTGGCTTTTATGTCGTAATTTACTGCAAACTCGAGACTGTTAATTATTAAAATTTTTAAACACGATAGTTTGTATCGTCGTTTTTTTTTATTTGGTTTATTCAATCTATTAATAAGAATTTTCATTTTGTAACAAAGATAATAACACACTAATCATATGGATACTATTATCATAATTTTTAAAATCCGTTCTTTGTAAATAAAATCTGAGAAAAACTGTAAAAATAGTTATTTTGACTATAAGTTCACCTTTATGCTTCTGATGCTCAATATTTTCTTTTAGACTTCAGAATGCCGTTTCGTGGACGAATATTGGTAGAGCTAGCTAATAAATCTGTCGATCCACCTAACTCAACACAAATATACGAGAATTGTGATATTGCACATGATCCAATTCCAACGGAAACGCAAATTATTAACGAGGAGGTTTTACTGTCAACAGCATCTAAAGTGGATGACCCCACTTCAAATACTCCCATATTATTGAATGATACAGATCTAAGTGAACACAATAGTAATGCTGTGGACAATGTTTCCGATTTTTCTCCAGTGTCAGACGACGATAAAGAATATTTGCCATATTCGTCCAACACAAAGAAACGCCGTTACAAAAATTTGCTGGCACCATCCAATACAAAAAAAAAACTACGCAGGGCGTCTTCTAGCTCCGACTCCTCTTCAAGCTCTGATACGTCTTCTAGCACCACTTCGTCTTGCACAAGCTCATCTTCCAACTCAGGTTTGTCAACTAGTTCAATATCAGGCACTCATAAAAGCGAATCAGAAGAACATCCCGTTTATGTTGCTACGGAAAACAACATTTCTGTCGAAAGCATTAAAATGCGACAAAATGCTCTTGAAAATTATGATGATATTTTAGGTTTGGTACAACCCGACAATCAATTAGCGCTACCCTCAGTTACCCCGTCAGATTTTGCTACAGGCATTCAAAATCTGCCCTCCAAACAAGCAGATGATTGCGTTGTGCCAAAAATAGTTAGAAGACCTGGACAAAGTAGGAAGGCAGTTGCTAAAACTTTGAGAAATTCAGGACAAGAATACCTGTCAGCTTCTCGTAATCGTAGGGTTATACCTGCAAGAAAAATGGGATCTCCATGTACAACTCAATGCCGTTTAAAATGTGCTGACCACATTTCAGAAGAAATTCGAAAACAGATATTTGATAGCTATTGGGCTATGGGATCGCTGACACGCCAGAGAGAATTTATTGCAAGGAGTATGGTACCTGTTATCCCAAAATATCAGTACAAAATGGTTAACAGTAACAGGAAACTTAAACAATCTTTTCATTTGAAAGTAGATACAGCTAAGACAGTGCGAGTATGTAAAATTTTTTTCAAGAATACTCTTGGAATATCTGATCGTCCAATACGTACTGTAATATCAAAGATGGACAACAAAGGAATAATTGATACAGAACAGAGAGGAAAACATGGAAAACATGCAAAATTAAATGATAGCTTATTATCTGCTGTACGAAATCACATAAATGGAATTCCACGAATAGAAAGTCATTATTTAAGACAGCAAACCACCAGGGAATTCATTGATGGAGGTAAAACAGTTTCAGACCTCTATAGAGATTATAAAGAAGATTGTATTAGAAAAAATCTTTCATTTGTGGATATTCAAATTTATAGAAAAATTTTTAAAACTGACTTCAACATTAGCTTTTACGTCCCAAAAAAAGATCAATGTGATCTTTGTGCAGCATACAACATCGCTCAAGCAGGTAATAAGGAAGCTCTTCAAGAAAAATATAATATTCATATTTCTGAAAAAGAGAAAAGTCGAGAAGAAAAGAATAACGATAAACTATTGGTATGCGACAATGTAATAGTAGCATGTTACGACCTACAAGCTGTTTTGCCCTGTCCAAGAGGTGATGTCTCAGTCTTTTACTACAAAAGTAAAATGAATTGTTTTAATTTCACTATATCTGCAATAGGAAGAGACCACACTGAGTGTTTTTTCTGGAACGAAGTAGAGGGCCAACGTGGAGCAAATGAAATAGCAAGTTGTGTTCTTAAATATATTAGAAAGATGTCAGAAATGACTGTATCTACTAACCTAAATATTATTTTCTACTCAGATAACTGCAGTGGTCAACAAAAGAACCAATTTATGATTTCTTTGTACGTTTATTGCTTGCTAACTTTAAAAAACTTGACTTCAATTACACATAAGTTTCTAATAAAAGGTCATACGCAAAATGAAGGTGACGCTGCCCACTCTACAATCGAAAGAGAAGTAAAGAAAACTTTAAGGTCCGGTCCTATTTATGTGCCTTCGCAATACATTACCGCAATACGAAAAGCAAAGAAAAAAGGCAATCCTTATACTGTAAATGAATTATGTTATAAAGATTTTTACGATATCAAGGAACTTGCAAATCTAGTTAACTTACAACGAAACAAAGAAGGTGAAACCGTAAAACTGAGTGATATTAAAATAATAAGAATTGAAAGAGATGAAGATAATATTAAAGTAACTTACAAAAATTCGTACTACGAAGACTATAAAGAAATTTTTATAGATGGTTCTAACAGGTGTAAAACACGGAAAAATCGACCAATGAATCAGCAGTTCCCATTAAAGCAATTATATTCCACACGACTTTCTTTGAGCGAATTAAAGAAAAAACACATACAAAGCATGATAGACCAAAATATAATACCAGAATATTATAGTGTATCGTATTATAATAATATTTTTATAATTTTTTTCTGACTTTATGTTAATTTCATTCCGATATATTTTCAAACTGTGTAGCCAACGGTATACATTAAGTTTTTTTTTTATATTTTTAAGAATGTTGTAACTTGTTATTTTCAATAAAAAATTATGTAACTATAAAAATATTTCACTGCTTATACTATATTAAATGATTTTATTAATTTTTTTACTAGTATCAGACTCGGAAACAGAAAAACTACATAATTAAGTGTATAAGGTAGTAAATAAGGTTTTTTAAAAAAATATATTTCAGTCACTAACTTTATTTCTAACAGATCATATTTCGCAACAAAGTATGTCAAAAACTTTAAACGCTGATTCTGTAAAATTGATTATTTTGGATAGTGTCACTTTTCTTTAGCATGTGCGATTTGATCTAGACCAAAAATTGTTTTTTGCTAAATTAATTAATAATTCAAAATAAATATAAGTATATTTTTTTATAAACAAATACATAAAGAAGTACAAACAAAGCAATATATATTCATGTTTTTCAACTATATAAACAACAATTGTTACGTTTACAAAATAAAAAATATAAATACTAACACTTATTCTTACGTCATTCTAAATATTGTTAGTCTGTATTTTGTAGAAAGTTTAAGAGGTTGTAAAGAGATTTTTTTGTTTCCGGACTGTTTTAGTTCTTCAATTTTGTCATACCGTTTTTTAATTCCATTATACTCACATAATTCTATTTTGTAATTGTTAGTAAAAATTGCCAATGTTTCTTTTACCTCTAAACGCATTTTTTTGTCAAAAACGATAATTACTAGTAGTAACTCATTAACGTACGAAGTTAGCCAGAACATCATTTGGCCTGCTTGTGTTTCTATTTCAAAGTTTAACTCTTTACCACATGTCAGTTTTATTCCGTCTTTGGGCCAATTTTCTTGAAATTTTTCTTTAGTACCAGAAAAATGATCCATTCCTTGAATCAAAGTAGGAAATGTATATAATCTGTTTAAACAAACCTGTTTATGTAAAAGGAAATTCCAACAATCGATTTTTTCTGTACAGTCTGGCCAATCGCATGACAACTTTATATTTTCAAGTAGTATTTCGAGAGATGTGAACACAACTTTATCACTTGTACATCTAACACAATAATCTGAGCAGTTACTGCAGTATATATGGCTGTAGTCACAAATATAAATGTGATATTTGTCATTTATGACGATGTTGCAATTTGAACATTTAAAATTTACTTTCATAAATACGTTCATAAGACGTTTTATTACCGATTCTGCTTTTTCTTTCTGCATAGATATATTATTTTCTGTTATATCTTCTATAATTCCAGGGTTCTCCAATTTAAAAACAAGTTTGTATGAAAAATCTGTTGAAAGTGAGGAACTATAACTTTTAGTATGTCCCTTTTGAGCAAGTGTTACAAACTTTTTGTAATGATTTTCATTTCCTTTTTTGCGCATTAAATCTAGTGAATAGTTATTTGGAAAACAAGCAAACTTTTCATCAACTTCTAAAATCGTGTCTCTTCCAACAGTTTTAAAATGTATAAATAACATTTCATGTAAATAATCTGTTATCCAATATACACTGAGGCACATTCCAATTATTATTTTTGAACCAAATAACAACTGAGTGGTAGAATGCCAATGGTCTCTAAGTTGCTTTTTATTTCCCTTAAAATCACATCCTACTTCTGGGCAAAAGTATTCTCTATTACAACATATTTGTTTGTGTAAAGGAAAATCTAAACATTTGATTTGTTTATTGCAGCTTTTCCAATCACATGGCAATTTGAAATTTCCAAGTAAGTTTTCCATATCAATCCAAAAACAATCATTCTCACAAATAGCACAATAAACATCTATACAATCAGTGCAAGTCACGTGGCTTTGAGGGCATAATAACAGACGCGTCTTTAAGCTGATCATGTTGTTGCAGTGACAACATGTAATTTCTGACCTCAAAAATAGGTTTACAAAATACTTAAGAATTTTTATATGTGGGTCGTCCATTGGTTTTATGAAATTAGTAGATTCCTTTGCCTCATCGTTACAATGAATTTTTATTGCTCCAAACAATACAGATGTAGAAAGTAATTGTTGTAATTGATATAAATTTATTATTGTGGTTTGTAACGTTGTGTTTACATCAATAACTTTTGAAATGTACTCGATATCCGAAGAGGGATGAAATAATATTATTGTATACTTCTTAATTGGATTGTATCTAGTAAGTTGTTTGAATGATAGTTTTAAATTATCATTTAGAACAGAAATTGATATTTTTATGAGTTGATGGTCTGTATAAAATAAAATTTTACTTGTTTTTAAATGAAATACCCCATCACAAATTACATTGGCAGGATGCTTTTGTTTATAATGTTGAATCAACTGACAAGCATTTCCCTTAAAGAAGCATTTTAAACATTGATATATTTTCTTAAAAGTACATAAAGTTTCATGGTTTTCGACATTTTCAGAAAAAGGAAAAATCTCTGTACATCCTTCATAATGATTAACACAGTGGAAATAATAGTTTTTAGCAATTTTATTATAAGCGGATAACTGCCGGAAATCATATCTACTTTTTTGAAAATCTGCACATTTTTCTCGACCACAAACAATAAATGGACATTTATTAGATATTGTTACCGGTCCTACTGAAAGATATTTTAAACAATAACCACATACTTGATTGTTTAGAATTCTTTTTGGTATAACCATATTATTCCCAGTGTATATCATCTAAAAAATAGTCAAAATTAGATTTTCTTAACAACTAGATAAGTAATAACTATCTAAGAAAATACAGAAGTAGCTGTGTTCTAAGGATATCTATCTTAGTAGTATTGGTGTATCGAAGATGAAATTGTACAGAACATGAATGTTAAGTACAGCTTATTTCAAATCGATTGGCCAGCCCTTCTACGAAATAGTCAATCGCGCAGACAATAAGATATCTATGATCAGACCCATGCAGTGGCGTTGCAATATTAAACAAATTATGTTATTTAAAATCGCACTAATTATAAAATTATTACTCACTTAAATATTAAATGGAGAGTGATTGTACACTTATTATTTTATAGATACCAAACTTTTTGTTCATTATAATTGATACTCTATAAAGTTTGTTAAAATTTAATTTCTAATTTAGTATCAGTTAGTTTAAAATCGTAATTAAAAAGTCATTATTAATGACTTTATAATAATAATATTTTATAATAACGACTCGTTAATGACATACAAAGAGTTGATAAGAATTATTTCCGATAATTTCTAGTTACTGGATTTTAAACGAGTTTGTAATTTAGTCTCATTATGTTGTCGAGTCTCAACAAGAAAGGTGCTACTACGCGTATTAGAACTACTTTGTAGAATAGAGATAGTATTAAAAAACGTGCGAGTGAAGCTACTGGAGTATCTTTACGTAGAGTAGAAAGGATCATTCAACAAGCGAGTAGGTTTACAAACGCAAAGTCAAATAATAAACTAAAATTTCCAGCTACAACACTTGCTAAAAGGAAAGCAACCGTGACAGACTTGAGGGAGTATGACAAACAGTTCATTAGAAATACTATTCATTATTTACTTAAGAGTGAACATTGTCGTGTATCATTAAATCTTTTGTAGAAAAGGCTCTAAGAGATGTACGAGTGGACTGGAAGTGTGAGTTCTCTCTACAGAATTGTAAAAGATTTGAGATTTAAATGGAAGAAGATGAAAGATAATCGACGTTTATTAATTGAACGGAATATTATTTGTACTCTACTCATTAAATATTTAAAAAAAAATTTAAATATTACAGAAGCGAAGGTAAGTCAATTGTAAATGTTGATGAAACCTATGCACATGCAGGACACACTTCGCCAAATAGCTGGACAGATGACAGTGGCAAAGAATTGTTCAAAAATATTTCAAAAGGAAGTAGATTGGTTATTGTACATGATGGTGGGGAGATGGGTTTCATACAGAATGCCCTTTTGATTTTTAAGTCAGGAGTTATGAAAGGAGATTATCATAATCATATACATTCAGCAAATTATGAAAAATGGCCGAATAAACATTTAATCCCCAATTTGTCTGTTGGATCTATTGTTGTTACTGATAATGCTTCATATCATAATGTACAAATTAATAAAGCACCCGCCAGTAATTCTAAAAAAGTGTATATGATATCTTGGTTGACAGAAAAAAATTGGTTGAAAGAAAAATAATCAGGTGACACCTGGGAAATGTGAAACAATGATTTTATAAGCTCATACATGGGCTCTTACAGCCAGTTTAATCCGCCACATTAGATGTGTTACATGAAGAGTATTACATGCTTTCATAGATTATTTTATTAATAAATTCTAAATATTAGATAATACGGTGTTAAAAACCGATATAAATATAATTAATTACCTTTAAATCAGAATCAGCATCCACAAGTAAATGTTTTTGTTTAAAAGAAAATATGGCTTCATCCAATAATTTGTTTGTTGTAGCCATTTCTTGAATTGGATTGTTCTTTACATTATTTGTAAATTGTTTAGCTAAACCTTTATCACTGTTGGAGACTTCTATTTGCTTTTTAATACTTTTATCCATACAATATAATACAATACTTTGTACTGTTGCATTGGATGGTTCTTCATTAGAAAATGACTCTAAAATATGTAAATATATAAAAGACATCAATTACTTAGGGACTACAAGATTGTTAGGAATACCTAACAGTGTTGTGTTTGTGCTTAAAGCAAACAGTGGAATATTCACACATCAAAATAATTTAAGGAGTACCGATATTATATAGCTTTAAATCAATGTTAGCTGCAAATACAAAAATAAATTTATGTTTTTAATTTTTTTTGTTATTTTGTCGATTTTATTGTACCAACTTGGACGGCAATGCTGGTAGGAATTGCTATAAAAAAATTAACAAAACTTCAATATGCGTTTTTTTGTCCATACGATAAAAAGTTCTTCTTCTTCTTAAGGTGCCGTGCATGTATCTTTTTCCTGGTAATATGTGCACCAAGTATGCAGTCTTCTTACTTTTTACATAACTAAACAGTTCCCTATCCTGTAATCCCGCTCTTCTGAGTACTTTTTCATTTCTGACCCTGTCCGTCCATGATATTCTAAGCATTCTACGCAGGAACCACATTTCAAACACTTCAAGTTTGTTAATGGAACTGGCCTTTAACGTTTATGCTTCCATTCCGTACAAGAGAGCAGGTTACACGTAACACTTAAGCATCTTGTTTCGGAAGTTGAAGTCCAATTTGCGATCAGTAAGAAACTTACGAAGCCTCAAAAAAGCATTTCTGGCTTGTTCAACTTTGCTCTTTATATTTCATTCTCGGGGTCCCAACACTCGTTCAGCAAACAACCCAAGTATTTAAATTGCCTGACCTGTTCGATTTCTTATCCATAGGCATATATCTTTGCGTTGGGGTAATCATTTCTACTTATAATCATTGTTTTCGTCTTCTTGATATTTATTTTCAAACCCCGAGCTTCACTTGCAAAAGTTAGATCATTTAAAAGGCATTGAAGATCTTCGATGTTATCTGCCACTATGGCTGTATCATCGGCATACCTGATGTTATTAAATATACCGTTAACTTTAATACCCTTATTAGAGTCTGCCACTGCTTCTGCGAAAGATTTGACAAAATTATGCTAATGACTCATTGATAACCAGTTGCAGTAAACGACTTCCCAGAAAATTAGGTAAAAACTGCAATAATAGTCATATTTTAAAATACATTAAAATAACATTAGGGTAGGTATAAATTTGTTACAATATTGCAGTTGAATTGATTCTTTGCCAGTGTTGACATTGTATGTTTGGTAGAAATATTTAAAAATACCTAGACGTGTGTTAGATATAGATAGTCTAATTTGTAGTGTACATAAGTATTTTACGGATGAAAAACAAAATGGCGGTCCTTTAAAATCGGTAATGTCTGTTTAACAATGCGTATGTGATGCTCTAGGAATTAGTGAAACCAAACTAAGAGGAGTATTACAAAATCACAATAATGAACGGCCGAAAGAAGATTACCGAAAAACTCGCCTACCATTGAAATCGAAAGATATTCCATATTGAAAAAAATTTGAAATTCGTGATACCATTTATCGAATGCGTGCCAACAAGGAACATGTGACCTTAAATACAATTCTCTCGGAATTAAAAAAAAAAGAAAATTTGACGAAATTGGCAGAACAAGTCTATGGCAAGTGATACATAATTTGGGTTTCAAATTTCAAAAGGAGGATAACAGAAAAGCCCTTTGTGAACGAAGTTCTGTTGTGCATAAAAGAATTAACTTTCTAAGAAAATATTCTAAATTAAAAGAAGAAAGGGCAAATTTTATATATTTAGACGAAACATGGATATTTTCTAGGGGTGCAACCAAGAGAATATGGCAAGATGATAACGTAAAGTCTATCAAACATACTGATGGAGAAGGGAAGCGACACATAATTTTACATGCAGGAGGGAAATCAGGTTTTATAGAAGGTGCTGATTTAATATTTTCATCTAAATCAAAATCAAGTGACTATCACGATAATATAAACACAGAAATGTTTGTAAAATGGTTACATGAAAAAACTTCTCTAAGGTTTAAATGAGCCCAGCGTAATTATTTTAGACAATGCACCTTACCATTCTGAAGTATTAAACAAAATTCCAACGAATTCTTGGACTGTTAATAAAATTAAAGAATGGTTGACAAAGGAACATATACCATTTACACAACATATTTTAAAATTAGAATTATTACGCTTGGCAAATATCCACGTAAAACCAAAAACCTTTGTTGTGGATCATATTATTGAAAGTTACGGTCATCAAGTTTTACGTCTGCTGCCGTATCATTGCCAGTTTAATCCCATCGAATATATATAGGGAATAGCAAAACAATATTATGACAACCATATTGGGCCTAACGGTTATAGCGACGACGCAGTTCAGGAAACTTGGCGAAAGGCACTTTCAATTGTAACTCCAGAAGTGTGGTGCAACTGTATATTCAAGTGCGAGAAACTAATAGAAGATTGGTGGACTCGTGAAAATAAAATAAACGAAATAAGTCCAGTCATAATAACAATTAATGGTTATGACAGTGATGATGATGACGATTATGATATTTTTGATGATAATGACTGATTTTCATTTTTGTTGGCAAGTTAAATTTTTTTATTTTTTATTAGAAATTCTCTCCATGGAACAAATATACATAGACCATATTTTCTGTGTGAAGTGTAATATAAAATTATTATTAGGTTTATATTAGCCACATTAGACTCCATTAATGAAGTAATTCTTCTTATTATACTGTCAATTATATAAAAGATTTTCCATTATTATTTAATTAAAAAAAGTTATGGATTATTTTTCATTTCATTTGACCAGTTGATATTTCCCCAAAGAGCAGGTAATTAAAACTGGGTACTTACAATAAAATTTTTAATCCGAAACCCGCGTAAATATAGCGAACCGACTATACGTATAAATCGAACAGCATTGGAGACAGTATACAACCTTGCCTTACTCCTTTTTTAATGGAAAAATCTTCTGTTTCGTTGAAATTTTGAAAACGTACTGTTGCTGTCTGGTTCCAATACAGATTGGCGATAATTCTTATATCCTTGGCATCCAATCCCAACTCTTGTAGGTATTTTATCATCAATTCGTGTTTAACATTATCGAATGCTTTCACATAATCGATGAAACAGACAAAAACATCATTTCTTTGATCTAAACAATTCTGTATTAAAATGAAAAAAGGCAGCAAATATTTGATTTCACGCAAACAAATCCTATGTATCTGTTGATACGTATTTCGACCTAATAGGTCTCATCAGAACAGCTATTCATAGGAGTTCTCAACGTGAAAAATCAATATTTTCTGCCTTTTAAGAAGCACTAATAACATGGCTTCAATACGGACGCGCTAGCGACATCTAATTACAAAAATCGTAAAATAGTTTCGAAACACAATTCAGATTTCTGCTTATAATCTGAGACTTCTAAAAATTGCAAGGCAAACAGACGTTGATAAAAGATGTTAAAAGAGACATGGGGAATCTAAAATTTGCATTCCACGACATGTCTTTTACAACTAAGCAGAAATCCGTAGCGAATTGTGCTTCTAGTACCTACTCACACAGAGTAAATCCGAATAAAATGAAAAAAAGGCAGCAAATATTTGATTTCACGCAAACAAATCCTATGTATCTGTTGCATGTTCTGTATTAATGTTTGCATGCTAAAGATCGTTTCTCTCGTACCAAGTCAATTTTTTAAACCAAACTGACTCCATCCACTGACCTCTTCACATTTCTTAAACAATCTAGCGTGAAGTATTCTCAGAAAAAGTTTTAAAAAGTGACTCATTAGGCTTATTAGTCGGTGGTCCTTGCAGAAGTTCGCACGTGGTGTTTTTGATAGGGCGATAAATGTAGAGCAAAGCCAATCTTTTGGAATCTGGCCCGTATCGTAGATGTCGTTAAAGAGCTTGACAATAATGTCTAGGTTTTCTTCATTAAGTAACTTGATTATTTCTGCGTACATATCATCTGATCCTGGGGTTTTGTTACTTTTTAATAGTTTGATAGCGTGTACAATTTCAGCTTTCGAAATACTTGGGCCATACAAATGGTCTCCCAGTTGTGGCTGTTTTTGTGTTCTGTCATCATTGAACAAATTGGCTGTGTATATTTTTCAAGTATTAAGTATATCGCTAGGATCCGTTATTAGTTCATTTTGGTCATTATGTATACGTGACTTGTTTTTTCTTGAAGACACCAGCAATTTCCTTAATTTTCTTGTGAAGATTAAAGCTATCGCCGAGTTTATATAGGATTTTAGCCTCGGTGCGAAGTGTAGTCATCCAGATCTCTTTTGCCGCTATAATTTCTTTACGAATTTGACTGTGTATATTTCGGTACCCTACTTGGTCCTGCCTAATTTTACACTGCCTGCGTTGTTCCATCCTCTCTAATATTTCTTCTATCATCCACTCATTCTTGGTAGTTGTTTTACTCTCGAGTAGAAAAGTCATCAAATGATTCTTTTATGGTGGTCCATGACTTTTCAACATCATCCTCACTTGCCATATTAGAGAACCTATTGTTTATTCCCTCTGTACGCTTCACTTGTTTCATTATTTTTGAGTTTTCTAATGTTTCCTGATGCCTTCTGGTGTTTTCTTTTAGTTGTAGTTTAATATTTCCTACTAAGGGATTGTGGTCGGATCCTATGTCTGCTCCAGGTAATGCAGATACCTTAGTAATAGCATTCCTATACCTTCTATTAATTGACACATAATCTATTTGGTTCCTGATAATGCCCTGATGTCCGTCTAAAGGCGACTTCCATGTGTAAAGCCTTCTGGGTGGTAACTTATACCAAGTATTCGTTATGACTAGATCTTTGTCTTGGCAGTACAAGTCAATCAATCTGTCCTCTCTGTCGTTTCTCTGACCAAGACCATATTTTCCAACTACGTGATCTACGGCTCCTTCACCAATTTTTGCGTTAAAGTCTCCTAATACGTTGTTAATTTCGTGATTCTTAGTCATCTTTAAGGCTTCGTCTAGCTGTTGATAAAATTGCTCTAGTTCTTTTTCTGGCTTCTCTGCTGTAGGGGCG